TTAAAACTAGATGGAGGTCAATACTAATTGATAAATTTATGTTTTTTCACTTTAAGGCTGATTTTCCTTGTGCCTCGTCAATAACTGTAATCTGTTTGAATGTTACATTCCCTAGCATTTGGACAAACATTTTGAGGACACCAAGACAATTTTGAGATACTGTTTGTATATTGGAAATCAAGTTAAAATTTTAAATGTGGAACTCAGTCCAATATTCTTTTTCATAGTTTAATGCAGTCTTGCTAATGCAACTATAGTAAATGTCTATTCAGAACAAGAAGTTAAAAGCATCTGAAGAAAAAACCAATACCACCCATAAATAATACAGTTTTATTAAAAGGCCACCAACTGAAAGCTATGCATTTAATAGCTGAAGATTATTGAACAAAGAATACAGTAGAGAAGGACTCTAAAGTGCAGTCTCTTATTCCTTTATTCTGCTTTTGCTGCCCTAACAGAAATTAAAATAATGTGTAATTTATAAAAAAAAAACCAGACAATTATTTTCATAATTCTGGAAGCTGAGTGGTTCAAAATCAAGACACTGGCACGGAAGAAGGTTTTCCTAACTCATCATCTGATATGAAAAGGATGCAGAGAAAGCAGGAGGACAAGAGAGAGGCCAGAGGTACCAAACTCATTTTTTTAGAAGGACCCATTTTCAACCTTCAGCCATTTCTGAAGATAGTATTCTATGACACTAATGGATCCTATTAGGTCCCACCTCTAACAATACTGCATTGGAGATCAAGTTTCTACATGCTTCATACATCTTATTTTAACATCATCTTATCCAATAAAGAAACAAAGACTCAAGGTACATAGCTTTAGAAATAGCAACAATAGTGTATGTGAACATCTTTTAACTTGAATTATAGAATTACACAGCCAGCTTCATTTTCATAACTGGAAATGCCCAAAAGTGGTAAAGTGTTGCAAATTCTGTTATAAAAGTAATTTTTATAAAAGGTGTGCTCTTTCATCAACTAGAACATGCTCCGAACATCTCTAATGTAAAATCTCAAACAGATGGAGTTACAAACCATCAAGCTGTTGCATATGGTCTGGGTGGATTGATGTGGAGGGTATATGGGCATACACACATAAATCACACAGCCTGAACTATTAGTAAAAAGAATATGCCACTGAGAAGTCCTTGGCTTAAATGGAAGACCCACAGAGGCACCTTCGATCTTCCTAACCCACTTCCCACCCTCTCCCTCATGTACTGATAATTGCATTTCCTGTGGAAACAGAACTAAATGAGCCAGTGTTTTAACTGTCAAGATTTGAAGTTGCTGCTAAACATGAGCTGTCTCTGCTCCCGATGCTACCCTACATACTTTCCCCTCAACTATGGTGAGTTATATTCTTTACAGTAGCCTTCACCTAGGACAAACAGACTATAAGATTCCTCTCTGTTTCAACCACCATTTTGAATGCGATCATCAGTTTCACAGTACAGCCTTGAGGAGTCAGTGGTGGGTTGCCCCAGCGACACAGTGTTTTATTGCCTGGATGGACTGTTTTGGCGTCAACCAGTTCCACTCTAGACTGGGGAGTTAACCTTTTTCTTCTCTCTTTAATGAGACTACTTCTGTGCTGGCTGTTTTTTGTCAATTTGACATAAATTAGAGTCATCAAGGAAGAAAATACTACAACTAAAGAATTACTTCCATCAGATTGTACTATAGGCATTTCTGAGTGACATTTATTGATTGGTTTGGGGGGACACAACCCACTGTGGGAGGTGCCACTCTGAGGCACCTGGTCCTGGGTTATATAAGAAAGTAAGTAGAGCAAGTGATGGAGTGCAAGCCAGTAAGTGATGCTTCTCTGTGGTTTCTGCTTCAGTCCTTGAGTTCCTGCCATGGTGTCCTATGATTATGGACTACAGCCCGCAGGTTAAGTAAATTCTCCTCCAAGTCCCTTTTGGTCAGCGTTTCCCTGGGCAACATAAAGACAAATGAGAGGAACCTATTTTAACAAATCCTGACAATAGACAAACAATAGAGTTTTTTCCTATGAAGAACTCTGCTCTCAGTCACATAAAATTTTGAAGTAACAAATGAAAAATTTTCTTGCTTGCTTTCTATGATAGTAGGTAGAAAGAATGTTGGGCCAATATTTAGAACCTGGATCCTCTACATTAGTTTCCCCACACTTAAAGGGGGTGTACATAATTATATTTTAAAAACTGTCAGCTATATAAAGTTGGAAATTTTGTAAGAAGAAAAAACATCCAGTACTCACAGGCTGTATCTCTGCAGTCTCTTCCTGTTAAAAACTTCAGTGTGTGGTGAGTGTGTGTGTGTGTGTGTGTGTGTGTGTGTGTGTGTGTGTGTGTGTTTCTTAATGAGTCTCAGAATCTTTTTCCAGAATGTTGTTGGAGGATGTCACCTCACCAGCAAGGCATAGCACAGCAGGTGCAGCTGCTTTCCACTCTTGGACTGCATGATTTCTAAATTACAATTTCAACATGATGCCGTTTTTTTCCTAACTATTGTTTGATGATTCCTATTTTGATCATGTGTAACTATTTCAATTATCATTGCTAATATTTGCAATGGGATGGTTATAATACAATAGAAACCAAGTATAGCAGCACGTAGATATAAGCATTTGGAAGATAGAAGGAGAATCAGAAGTTCAAGGTCATCTTCTGCTACATAGCAAGTTCAAGACCAACCTCAGTTATATGCAGACTGTTGCAAAAACAGTGTGGATTTTATAAGGCCTTAGTGATTAAATCTGGTTTACCTATAATGCCTCAGTATCACATCAAAGAAAACAAAATTAAAGAATTTCCCCTTGAAGTCATTTAGGAGCAAGTCCAGATTTGAATTCTCTATTTCCTGTTCCCCATGTCTTTTGTCCTCTGTCACATGAGACTACCTTTGCCTTCTTAACATCTGTCTTGTGAATCTGTTTGTCTCTGTGCTTGTGTATGTCTTTCCTGATGTGTGTCTGTTTGCTGTATGAACTGTGTGTGTCTAGTTCTGTAGGTGCTGCATGTGTCTGTGTATGTGAGTTGTGTCTGTCTGTCTGTCTGAGTGGTGAGACAGTCTGTGTTTCTCTAACAAAGTTCTTCACTGTATTTATTAAAGAGCATAGAAAGCATCACAGGGCAAAAGGAATGGGACACTTTACAAAAATCTTTAACAGAGTTTCACAAGCGATTACAACTGATCCCAATGACTCAAATAACAAACATCATTGTTTATCAACCAATACCCATAAATAGTTGCTTTTACAGTTTACAAAGTGGCTTTTGACTTCAGTACACGCCTTGACTGGGTCAGGGACTTGAAAGAGTATATAACTTAAGATTGTAGTTGTGCATTTCCTTGGGTTCTAAAGTTTATTACATGGGAAATTCAGGCAAGTAAATTTGATTATTACACTGTTCTCTTAAAGGCAGATTGAATAAAGAGTTTGAGTACACAGTAGCCTAGGTGAATTAAGTCTTTTTTTTTGTGGTTTTTCGAGACAGGGTTTCTCTGTAGCTTTGGAGTCTATCCTGGACTAGCTCTGTAGACCAGGCTGGCCTCGAATTCACAGAGATCCGCCTGCCTCTGCCTCCCGAGTGCTGGGATCAAAGGCGTGCGCCACCTCCGCCCGGCATGAATTAAGTCTTAAGCGACTCAGCTCTGAGGCCCAGAAAAAGTTCCAGTCTCTTCAAATGCAACAGATATTTCAGAATATTTCCTCACCACAGAAAACAAAAGAAAGCAAACAAAGTGGACTCTATGTTTTTTGTGGATGTGTGCATTTTTTTTTCCATTTTGATATTTTCTATCTTACTGTTTTTTTTTTTTGTTTGTTTAATTGTCTTGATTTCACTTTTGTTTTGTTTTGCTTTGTTTTCTGAGAGAGAGAATAAAGTTGGGTGTGTAATTAGGTGAAGAGGATCTGGGAGGAATGGGGGAGGGGAAAGAACATGATCAAAACATTTTAAAAAATTAAGTAAAAAAAAAATAGATTAAAAAAGAAGAAGAAAGCAGTCTGAGAAAGCCACAGGGAGCAAGCCATTTGGCAGTGTTTCGCCGTGGCTTCTGCTCCAATTTCTGGCTCCAAGTTCCTGCCTTGAGTTCTGTCCTGACTTCCCTCCTTAATGGACTATAATGTAGAAGCATGAATAAGATGAAATAAATTCTTTATCCAAACTAAGACACGCAGTAACAAATTTTTCATGATTTACATGTAACTTTGCCAACTTGTGTTTCTAAGGACTAAAACAGACAGTTTTCTTATAGCTCATACATGAAAAATATAAAACATAAACTGAAGTTTTTGTTTGAAAAATGAGAACTGTGTAGGTTCTGTGCATTAATTTTATGAAATTCTGCTTACTTGGACACTCATAATGATGAGAGTGCTTTATTTGAGTCCAACTGTGTATACATTAAGCACTCTTCTTATGCTAGATGAGCCAAACAATTATATAAAAATTTTAAATATTACTTTCTCTTAGGGAAAAGGACAAAATCATTTCATTGTTCAAGCTTATTGAGAAAGAAAATGTCATCCAGATTGGGGACTCATGATGGCCAAAAGCTTCCCCTTCCATCTCTTTGTCTAATCACTTGCCACTTTTCACATCAGCTACTTTCTAAAATGTGTATTATACATTCGGCAGTTATTCTTCTGAATCATGAAGTGATAAGTATATGTTTGGCTACCATTAATTGAATGTCTACCATGAGAGACAAATGGTAGACACTGGTTTATTTCTAATCCTCATAATAATCCCTCTACATTCATGCTATTTTGCCCATTTAAGAATGGCGAAGTCAAGGCAAGAGAAGCTTACACAGCACCACAGAGCTGACGGAAGCAGAATTCTTGAACTGGATTCCAACAGCACTTCATAAGGATTCTTTTCATAGATCATGCATGTAAAAAAATATACATTTAGATAACTCTGCAAACCATTGCTTCTCAGAGAGGGGAAATCACACAAATCCCACTGACCTCGGCATTGCTGTGCTCTCTTGCAGCCTGTGAACTCATGAACCAGGGCATCTTGGCCCTAGTCAGCTCCATTGGTTGCACATCAGCTGGGTCCCTGCAGTCTTTGGCAGATGCCATGCATATTCCACACCTCTTCATTCAGCGCTCAACCGCTGGGACCCCAAGAAGTGGCTGTGGTCTCACCCGGAGCAACAGGAATGATGACTATACTCTTTCAGTTCGTCCTCCTGTCTACTTGAATGAAGTCATCCTAAGAGTAGTCACAGAGTATGCATGGCAGAAATTCATCATCTTCTATGACAGTGAATATGGTAAGTGTCTGTGATCTGAAGAGTTTCATAAGGTGATGTCTGCATGAGAAACAACTTCATTAAATCCTCAAAGTTATTAAAGAACTTACTAATCATTTATGGTTTCTTGTTTCTAATATATCTCACAGCATCAAACAAACAGAACTATTTTAAATGCTATTAGCTCATTCTTTGTATTTAATATCTTTGAAGTAAAATGTAAATATAAATACCAATTGGAGTGTATAACACATACCAGTTATCCCAGCTCTTGTCAGGCTGGGGGAAAGGATGGAGAAATCAAGGCCAGCTAGGGCTACCTAGCAAGATCTTGTTTCAGAAATAAATAAATAAATAAATCTGAACCTATCACTCAATGTAAAATTCACATTACTTGAGGGTCACAGAATAAGAACTAAGAGACTGACATGAATAAAAGAAACAAAAACAATATGGACAAGAGCTGGCTTGTACAAGCCTGGAACTCTGGTGGGGTGGTGTAGTCTGAATACAATATACCTTGAATTTTCAAATAATGAGAAGTTAAAAAGAGAATACTATCCTTTAGAAACGCATAACTCTGTGATGATGGTGGTGATGATGGTAATGAAACCATGGGCAGATCTTAGAGCACTGATGTAAAGATAACCTCTTTTTATCTATTGGCTAAAAGAAATTTGACAAACTTGTTTAGACACTTGTTTTGACCTTACTATTTATTTAATGTTCTACCCATCATAGTTGATGAAAGTAGAAAATATTCTCCGCATGTTTTATGCAATACGAAGTTTTACAAAAACTAGAACTCGTCTGAATGAACATTTCAGATTTCCGCTGTAGCACACAGTTTCCCAGAGTACACTGTAATATGAGGAGGAAACAATTTGTCTCAAAATCTTTACTGGTGATACATAAACACATTAAGAGGAACTAATATTTTTATTTAAATCATTTTTCTGAAGCTCTTCCTTTTCTAACTGAGGCTAAAGCTCTTTGAATGCAGTTCTCCCCTTATTTGTATGAGTAGGGAGAGAAGTAACTGGAACTGGATAGGATCTAATGAGGATAAATAAACCCCCAATGAAGAATTCATTTAGAAATGCGTTTCCTTTGACGATTCAAAAATGTGGTTCTTCTGAGTCTTGTTTTTCCATTTTTATTAACAGAATGTTTTTCTTGGCAAATAAGTAAATAAGCGTGGAAAACAAACAAACGTTTAGCGTGATCCTTTCTTCTCACAATGGGGCTCCGTTGTGAGAGACACAGTGGAGACAGCCAAGTGGGCAGCAGAGCAAAAGCAGCAGAGCTGAGAACCAGCAGGTTGGCAAAAATCTGTCCAGCAGTGAAGGGCAGCCCCCTGGGGCTGGCCAGGAAGGGGACGGGAGCAGTTATATTTGGCCCTAAATAGTCAAAGTAGCCTGGCCTTTTGGCTGCCAGAATAATCCCATTGAATTCAATGGGCAAATTACAGGCAAAGTCTGTAGACTCTCCAGAAAGACACTTTTTTGTATCCAAGATGGAAACCAGTATTTCTGTTGCTTAATTCACATTACTTAAGGGTCACAGAATAAGAACTAAGAGATTGACGTGAATAAAAGAAACAAAAACAATATTGAAAACAATTGACTCACACAAGCCTAGATCACTGGTGGGGTGGTGTTTAAGCACAGTGATGGTGAGTGTCTCTAGAGCCTACATGCACTGCCTTCGTCTGATTTGTCCCTTAGATTGCGCTCATTTTCAACTTTAAATGGTATTCACAGTCTCGGATCAAGTGTAAGCTGAAATAACAAATGTCTAAAATCCAGATCTTTAAGGGAGAAAACACTCAGTCCAATAAAATTAGCAGCAGAAAAGTGATTTTTTTTTTTTTTTTGATGAAGATACTTTCTCGGCGTTAGAATGGGAAATTTACCCTTTGATTGTAAAAGTCTGTAGAATAGAAAATTACTTATTATCATTTATTTCTAAATCCTGTGAGAATTATAGATGGGTTCTTACAAGAGAAGACACTTTCATTATTGATGAGCTGAATGCTGTCTTGAAAGTATCCATTTAGCACACAGGCTAAGTCTTTTACCACACGTGAGGTCCTTCATGCTTCTTTAAATGCCTTGGAGTGAATAAGGAGCTGTAACCGCACAAAGGGTGATTGGGTTCCCGTTTAAACACAAGGTTTATTTTAGGAATAAAAAAGTAAAACAATTTCCATCTATTCTGCTGATAAACTTGCTTTTTATAATTTATTTGGAGTCATTAAAAATGGCCCTACCTCTATCATCAGAATTATTTCCAATAATACCATTATTTAATATAAGAAAATTGTCTTTTGATGTTTACAATAAATCCTGTTAGTAAAAAAACTAGGCTGGGATCCAAGACAAACAGCAAGCTCCCAGAGATCTTGTATAACTGGAAGATGGCTAATATGCTCACATCCAGTCATCAGGGACATCCTTCTAAGTGGATTAAACTTGACTTTTATCCTGATTATCAGGAATTGGTTTCATTAATGAATGAATTAGGTATCATTGGTGGATGGAATCAGGCAGCATGCTGGGGTACAAGGTGATTGGAGGTATAGTTTACTTAGAATTATGTGTGTGTATGTTTGTATTATTTTAATATATGTGCATTATATAAAAATATATGTGGATATATACACATATATCTTTCAGAGAGAGAGAGGGAGTGTTGTGTGTGTGTGTGTGTGTGTGTGTGTGTGTGTGTGTGTGTGTGTGTGTTTTCTAGGCTTCTATATCTAGTTGATTAGTGGAGTCCTTTTACTCAGAAGTAGCTAATCATGATTAAAGGTAGCCTAACAAAGAAAATTCACATCACTGATTCTAAGTAAATGGATCAAAAAGAATCTGACAAGTATGGAAACTTTATTTGAGGGGATTAATTAAAGCCTTTTTTTCTCCAGAAGGCTTGAAAGGAGGCTGTGTTGTTGAGCTTTCAGTACTATGCCATGTGTTAAATATCTGCTCTTACTTCTTAGTGCATTACAAAGTATGAGTTTTGCAGAACACACGTTTCCCTTTAAATATTAAAAACCTTGCAGTCAAGAAAAGAGGAAACTTGTTTATATGTCTCTTGAAAGAGGAAACAGTGGGTTAAGTTCTCAATGAGGAAATGTTGGTGTTGTACATTAGTGCAGACTTTAATTTTGGCAGCAGGTTTCCTGGGTAGACTTTGATCTCAGTTACTGCTTTAGTGAGGCAGCATCTGTAGGAAACAGCTACTTCAATGGAGAAAAATGTCATCAAGTCTTAGAGCAACTGAAATACTAAAAATAGCTCATTTTTATTCGCCAGGACCTAGAATAAGTACTTTATATTGTATCATTTAATGTTCTCAGCAGCCAAGAATGAAATAGCAAAGGCTGCTAGAGAATGTTTTCTATATGCAGCCACTTTGCTAAATTCTTCAAACATATGCATTATCTAATAAAAGACACCGGTTAATATTACTAGTATTTTTACAAAAGAGAAAACATGAGGTAATGCAATGTCAAGCAACTTCAAAATAAGTTGAGAAGCCCAGATGCAATCATCAGGTGTCTCTCCATTATTCTTGCTCTAGACCACTTGTGTATTTGACATTATAGAAATAGAATAAGATTAATTTCTAACAAATTTCCAAAAAACAAGTTTACTGATTGACTGTATAGAATTATCTTCATTAAAGAGAAATAATGACTGTAAGCCTGCAGAATGCATAAGTATTATAATGATGTAAAGGGAAAATATACTATATTTTAATTAGGAAAATTTGATGATTATTAGAAACAGGAAAACAGAATAGTAATTGGGCTAAAATAATCTAGTCAATCATTATCAAGAGTAGCTGATTAGACACACTAACCATTGTCACAGACCAGAGAGGATCCTAACTCTCAAGAAAGAGCAAGCAGTATGAGTCTTGTGTTAATGCAATGACATCAAGCCCCCCAAGGTCTGTGAACTAAAGAAATTCAATGGATATGCTGTGGGCTTACATACAATAAGGGACCTTCATGTCCTTCTACCTAGTGAGAGCATCTGCTGTCACGTTATGCAGTACCACAAGAGCTTCTTAGAGCATGGCTGTCACCATATCCCTCCTTTTTTTTTTTTTTTTTTTTTTTTTGGTTTTTCGAGACAGGGTTTCTCTGTGTAGCTTTGCGTCTTTCCTGGGACTCACTTGGTAGCCCAGGCTGGCCTCGAACTCACAGAGATCCGCCTGGCTCTGCCTCCCAAGTGCTGGGATTAAAGGCGTGCGCCATCACCGCCCGGCATATCCCTCCTTTTACACCTGTAGCCACTACCAATTTTATCATGCATGGAATAGAAATCCCTCTAATCTGAATGACAGAAATTAAGATCAAATCCATTAGATTTTTCTCACAACACTTTCTGATAAGACTGCAGTCAACTCTTTAATGAGCAGAATAAACCCCAATAACAATCAGACTTTCAAAAGTTGGATGGCATTTTCCTTAAACTCTTGTATATACCTTTCCATGGGAACAAAAGCATTCAATCCAGGTACAATAGATTTACTTGTGATCACAGAGACTCCACTGCCCACAAAAACAAAGCCTGTGATCTATAATGACCTTTATAGATGTAGACAGTGGGTTGAAGCCAAATAGACTGACCTCCAACATTGAAGTGCTACCTTTAATTATGTCAATTAGATTAAAGGGAATGTTTCCAATTGGACTTCTCCAATTGTAGGGAAAATTGAGCACAAAATTTGTAGAGATTGTTCTACAAACTTCTCCCAAATAAATAAGGGTAGCTTAACTTTAGAGGGGTTTCATTAATGTATATCACTGTTGGCTGCTGCTTACTTCAGCACTTGAAGGTATCTTAAGATCATCCCCAAGGTGCAAGTCCAATGCCTTCAAGAGGGTGATGACCTGGAAGTGCATGTGCTGTTTCTAAAGCATGTGAGATCGATTCAGAAGGGACATAGACCTTTGGGACCAGCAATCTTGCCTCCTTGCCAGTTTAGAATACTCAAGATTCTCAATT